CCTAACTGACCTTATCTGTGTGTAGTTTTTAACAGTCTTAGATATTGTCTGTTCCTTGAAATACTATTGTTGTTAAATACCATCGAGTCAGTTTTTGCTCATAGCAACCCTGTATGGGGTTTCCAAGGAGCAGCCGGTGACTTTGAACCACTGACTTTGAGATTGAAATTATTTGACCTGTCTGAAGTTTATAGCAATGTTAGATACTTTCTGTCCCTTGAAATACTAGGCTTCCATAAATTCATATTGATCTGGGTTTTGTTAACTGATTTTCTCTGATTATTTCTTTTTTGTTTCCATTGAGATTTCCTGTTCCTCCAACTATCCCTTGACTACTGGCATTCCACAGCCTTCTTTTCTCACACTACATCTCTTTCAAACTTCATATGCTGATGATACACAGATCTGTATCTGTAACTCATATTTTTATTGAATAGATCATAATAACCTATGGTGAGATACCACTTTTTCACCTGTCAATTTAGAAGTACTAAAGCTTTGATTATGTATTATTTTGACAACGGTATGGAGAAATAGATGTTTTCCTGATTGCTGTGGGAATGACATCTGTGGTCAGCAGTTCCATGGGAGAAAGATGAGGCTTTCTACTCCCATAAAGATTTACAGCCTCAGAAACTCTATACAGGGTCACTGTGAGTTAGAACCAACTCCACAGCATATAACCACTATCAAAATTTAAAATGTATAATATGTCCAAGATAAGAGGAAGCTGTGGAACAATATATATTAAATGGTTCCACTTGTGATTATTAAAGTGTATGTGTATACACACGGCACACACACACACATGCACAGAAACATATCTCTAAAAGGGTCCATAAGAAACAAATAACAACGTTTGCTTCTAAAGAGAGAAAAACTCAGGACAATAGGACTAAGCTGAGAGGGAAGTATTCTTTTTACAGTATGCCCTTTTATGTTTCATATCATGGTGCATGTGTGTATTTGTCTAGTCATAATATTTTTTTTGGCAGGAAAAAAAAATTGCAAAGTATATAACAGCACATAAGTTCTTAAGGCACCGTGATGTTAACTGTATTATTTTTGTGTTAGGTAGATAGTCTTGAATGAAGCTTATTTTGTCTTAAAAAATAAATTTACTATTTCAGATACATGATTTTAAATTCTAAGTACATAAAGAAATATCATAAATGACTGTCTTATTTCAAAATAACCACCTTTTCATTATTGGGAGCTTGTATACCTTTCATGAGGAGTTTTCCAACTCAGAGATTATCTGAACATTTAAAAAGAGCTCCAAACAACCTAAGTGCCCATTAAAGGAAAAATAGGTAAACAAACCATAGAACATATGCTCAATGGAATACTGTGCAATTAAAGAATAAGGGAGAATGCATGAAACATCTCATAATGTGGATGAAACTGAAGGACATTATGTTGAGTGAAATATGTCAGTCACAAAAGGACAAATACTCTATGAGACCAGTATTATAAAAATCAAGAAAATATTTACACACAGAAAGAAACATTCTTTGATGGCTACCAGGGATGGGAGGGGATAGAAGGGTAAACCACTAACTAGCGAGTAGACAGGTATTAACCTGGATAAATGGGAAAGCAATATACAATAAGGGAGAATACAGCACAACATGACCAAGGAAGACACTAGGAGCTCCTAGTAAAAGTAAAAGACAGCAAATGTAAATATTGTTACATACACAATCTTGTAACAATAGTAGTAATACACAGTATCTATGAGTTGTTTATTACTGTATTCAATTATATAAGCTGAACAGATGTGGAAAAATGAATGGAAGTGCATGAGTATATATATATATATATATGTTTGGCAGAGGACATTTGTTGTTGTTATGTGCTGTGGAGTTGGTTCCGACTCATAGCAACCCTGTACAGGGTTTCTGAGGCTATAAATCTTTATGAGAGCAGAAAGTCTCATCTTTCTCCTGCGGAACAGCTGGGAGTTTCGAACTGCTGACCTTGAGGTTAGCAACCCGATTCGTAACCACTACGCTACCAGAGCTCCTTGGCAGAGGACATTACTACATATGTATTTGTATGTGCTATATGATAGAGCATACAGGGGGCAAAGTTGTGAAAGCTTCTTAGAATGAGGGAATGAATCACTACGCTTGGGAACTTAAGACCACAATGTCCACTAAGACAATATTCTACATCCTACTATGGTAAGTAACAACCAAGATCTAAAAAGTTTGTGAGCTGCCATCTTTGGGCAGCTATTGGTTTTCTCCATCTGGAACAAAGAAGAATAAAGAAAATCCAAAGACTCAAGGAAACAATTAGTCCAAAAGCCTAATGGACCGTGTGAACTTCAGCCTCCATGTCTCTGAGACCAGAAGAACTAGATGGTGCCCAGTTACTACTACTGTCTGCTCTGATCAGGATCATAACAGAAAGTCCTGAACAGAAAGGTAGAAAAAATATAGAGAGAACAAAATTCAAAATCATGAAAAGACCAAACTTAGCGGTCTGATAAGACTGGTAAAACTCCTGAGACTGTGGCTTTAGACACCCCTCAAACCTAGAAAAGAACCTAGTCCCATGCATTAACTTTCAGCCAAATAATAGACAGTCCTATAAAGTGAATAATAACACCAGGGAGAAACATAGTCCTCAGTACAATCAGCCATATGAAACCAAAAGGGCAGCATTTGCTCAAAAACAAAGCTCAGGAGGCAGGAAGAGGCAGGAAAAAAGGATGACTGGAAGCCCCAGGAAGGACGTGGAAAGAGGGCTGTTACTTTGAGGGGACTGCAGCCAATGTCATAAAACAAAATACTAATTTGCTGTGTAAATTTCACCCAAACTACAGTGAAAAGTTCAATAATTAAAAAAAATAATAAAAGGCTCCCAAATGCTGAGTTTCTATTTGAACTGATGGGAACAGTTTGGAAATAGTGGTGATGATTACACAGCACAGTGAATGTAATTAATGTCACCAAATTGTACACTCAAAAATGGTTAAAGTGATCATTTTTGTTATATAAATAATATTTTTAGAAATAGCCACAATGTCTGATTCTGTTTCCATGAAGTCCCATTGGAATAAATACTTTCCCAGTTGATTCCTTCAAGATGTTTTAACAAAGAGATGTGGGTTGTTTTTATTTTGTTTTGTTTTTTATGTCTATTTACGATTTATACATAACATGTATACATAAATTAATGAAAGATATTCCTGCCTAGTTTTATGTTGTTGTTGTTAAGTACCATTGAGTCAAGTCCAACTCAAATGAACTGCATAGGCTTTCCGAGGAGCAGCCAATGGGTTTGAACCATCGACCTTGCAGTTATCAGTCCAGTGCTTATCCTACAGTACCACATCAGGCCTCTATTTTTATGCTATTAACACCAAAATAAATACTTCTGCTTAATTAGTTTTAAATAATGCCCAGTAAGTAATTTAACAAACTTGTTTGCCTAAGATTAAGTAATTGCTTTTCCTTTTGATGACATGAGAAAAGCAAAAACAAACTTTAACAGTTTTGAAAAACAATGTGATTTCTTTGTTGATGTCTAGGTTGGCCCAAGACTGGGCAGTGTTTCATTCTGTTGTGCATAGGGTTGCTATGAGTTGGTACCGACTCGATGGCACCTAACAACAACATGTTAAGGAGCTAGTAGGAGAATCAAGCACTTTGTTATGAAGACATTTAATGAAAATTGAATAACACAGTGCTACCCAAATGAAGCTAGTGCATAAGCTTATGTGTTAGTATGTCTGGTATCAAAACTAAACTCACAGCTAAAGAGGATAGAGCGGTAGTATTACATTCACAACCTTGGAACAATAGTGTTCTGCAGATAGATACATGGACAAAGACACAGGCTGAAAGTGTATGTGAGCCAGAATGGGCGTATACTCACAAATATTTAAGAGTTTGAAAGAGGATACTTATGTATGGGTATTTACATTTCCTGCAAACACAACTATGAATGTGGTGGAGCATACAGCAGACAAAATGATAAAA